AAATAATCAGTTCTCTCTTAAAGCAGACAATAACTTCATTCAGTCAAAAAGTACACAGGAACAATGAGTGTGGGCAAACACTGGTGTGTCTTATGCAGAGCTGCGGAGGAGGTGTGTGCTCCCATACAACATGCACACACGTGCAGGACATCTGGAGACATGTTCACCCCAACAGTGACTGCTTAGGGATTTTTACTTTTTTCTTTTACTTTTCCATTTTGTTTCCATTTTTTTTTAAACAAATGAACATATACTTTTACAAGAAGAGAATGTGGTTTTTGTTATTAAAATAGGGCACGAAAAGCTACAGTCATCAAGGCATGTGGTACTGGCAGAAGGACAGACATGTAGACAAATAAAACACAAAAGTGAGCCCAGAAATAAACCCATATATTTAGGGTCAGTTGATCATCAATGAAGATACCAAAGTAATTCTTTTCAACAAATGGCACAGAGACAAGTGGATATGTATATAAAGATGAATTTAAGAAACTTAACTCATGCTACATACAAAAGTTAATTAAAAATGGATCACAGACCCAAGCACAGGAACTAAAACTATAAGATACAAACATTCAGAAGAAACAATCTCGTAATCTCATGTCCTTGGGTTGGGCAAAGACTTCCGGGGACGGCACCAAAAGCATGATCCTTCAAAGAAAAAGATAAACTAGACTCATCAAAGTCCAAAACCCTTGCACTTCAAAAGATACCTTTAGGAAAACAACAAGACAAGGCACAGACTGGGAGAAACCTATCTGCAAACCACGTGACTTGTAACTGCTCGGGATACACAGCCTGCCAGCACCTTTCGGCCCGACTTTATGACTTGAAGACGGCTTCCTGTAACACTGTAAAGCAGGAATACTTTTTAAAAATGTTCAACTCCTCTCTTACTGTGAGACCCAAATAAGGCCCCAGTGGAAGGACTTCACTACAAATTCTGCTCGTATACCTCAACTAGGAAGAATTCTCAAGGGTTTAAACTCTTTTGTCAACTTATTTAAAAAGCATCCACCTATCCAAACTAGGCAAACCGAAAATGGTTACAAAAATAAATTTGATTTTAATAAAAGTATTAAAAGCTGCTGATAAAGAACATTGAAAATCAGCTATAACAAAGTTCTTAAATGAACTTTTAATACGGTAATAGACACTAAGAAGGGGTCAGTGACACATACCAAAGACAGAACGCTGGCCAGTTGTCACCATGGCACAGACTATACTGGAAATTTTGGCACACCCATTTCAAAGGGTTGCCAACCCCAGGCTACATATTTTGACTATTGCTTCAACATGCTGTTCTATAAATAAAAAGGAAAAGCTTTGGTTTAACTATCTTCACACTTTAATGTAGGAAGTCCCAATTATCGAAGAGTATTTCCAAAATGCTTCAGCCCTTGATTCCCAGACATCACTGTTTTCCTCACTAATAACTCAGATGTGGTGCCACCATAGCTAGAAGATTCCCTCACATATCCAGCTCTGGGCGTTCATGTGCACTCTAACTGGAACGAATAATCTCAGAACATATTAAATATTTAAGTCAAAACCAGTTAAAAGGTAACAATGTTCAACCAATAAAGTCAGCTTTGAAAATAATACTATTTAAGTGTTTGTTTATAGAAAATAACTGGAAAGGAGTTAGAAAATGCTAATCGATAAAATGAAGCCCAACCCCCTTTTAAAAAAAATAACATATTCAAAGTTAAAATTTCCCTCCAACTATGCTAACTTCTCTTAACTCCCCTAAATCTATGTTGTCCCAAGATCTAGAGGAAAAGAAACATTACTAAAAATGGGCTTAATTAACACTTTTGTTAGAATTTTCCAGAACTTTAAGGGAAGAACTGTAGTATGATATAAACAAAAACAAAGCAATCTCATACTTTGCAACCCAAGGTGGTTTTCTCACATTTCACTTTAATTTAATATCCCTGAAATTCTTTTTTTTTTTTTAAATGCCACCTATTTTGTTTTTTTTTTTTTTTAATGTTTTATTTATTTTTAGGAGAGAGAGAGAGACAGCGTGAGCAGGGGAGGGTCAGAGAGAAAGGGAGTCACAGACTGAAACAGGCTCCAGGCTCTGAGCTGGCAGTCAGCACAGAGCCTGACACGGGGCTCGAACCCACGAACTGCAAGATCATGACCTAAGCGAAAGTCAGACGCTTAACCGACTAAGCCACCCAGGCGCCCCAATATCCCTGAAATTCTTAAAGAAACACGTATGGGGCGCCAGCTGGCTCACTTGGTTAAGCATCCAACTCCTGAACACGGCTCTGGTCATGATCTCACGGTTCTTAAGACAGAGCCCCGCACAACATCAAGCTCTGTGCTGACAGTGCAGAGCCTGCTTGGAATGTTCTCTCTGACCCTCCCCTGCTTTGCTCTCTCTCTTTCTCTCTCAAAACAAATAAATAAAACGCTTAAAAAATCTAATTTTTTTCAAATCAAAAGCTATCTGGACACATTAGTCGTTCCTTTTTGAATAAATGTTATTAGTTTTCAACTTACCTTGGAGAACATGCATCTCAAAATTCCACCAAGGTCATCAATATAGGTCTGCCTCAAAATGAAGATCAAGAATACCAACAGTAACATGTATTGTGTTCTTATCACATGCCACATACTTTAAGTCAGATTTATTGAGGTATAATTTACATACGTTGAAAAACAATTCTCCATACAACTTGTTTAATGTTCTGTAAGCAAAGCAACACTGGCCCACTGCCCTTTGCTCTGGGCTCTATTTTCAAACAGCCTTGAAAGATAAAGACAGATGTTAACCTCTGGAGCAAATGTAACCTCTGGAGCACAAGACAGACATGCTTACTGTCCAGCGTAATGAATATAATGTATCCCTCTAGAGCAAAGGGCAGGCATGACTGCTCCTCACTGCAAAACACTTGGGTTCCCTAAACTCGGGGCTTCTCTCCAATTATGCAGCCCGCTACGTGGGCAAGTATTACCTGAGCATCAGGAAACCAACACAAATGCTGCTGATCCTCTGGCTCCACTACTGCTATTCATGAGAGCAACAAACTGCCCTTCATCTCTTGCACAGGAATCTGTTGCCTACCAGCACCCATGAAAATGTGGCAAGAACTTACTAGCTTGCAAGAAGGGTAAGATTTCAGGGGCGCCTGGGTGGCTTAGTCGGTTAAGCGTCCGACTTTCGCTTAGGTCATGATCTCGCAGTTCATGGGTTCGAGCCTTGCGTCGGGCTCTGTGCTGACAGCCAGCTCAGAGCCTGGAGCCTGTTTCAGAGTCTGTGACTCCCTCTCTCTCTGACCCTCTCCTGCTCACGCGGTCTCTCTCTCTCTCTCTCTCCTAGAAATAAATAAAACATTTAAAAAAATTTAAAAAAAAAAGAAGGGTAAGATTTCACGGTTCTGGGCAGTTTTGGGAATAAGGATGGGATGCCGACAGAACCATCCATGACTTTCTAGAAGAGGGAAGATAAAGGCCACCAAGGGCAGAGCTGTAGGAAATGGGAAGACACCCTGGGATCTGAGAGTGGTCCTAGTGGCAGGTGGGGAGGTGAGGATACAGATCCCTACTTCCCTACCTGTTAATGAAGAGGAGTTGAACTAATGTTTAGAAACTGAGCAGTGAAAAGTGGAATTGAAATCACCCACCCAAGTGGTGAAGTGGTTGTTTGTTCTCTTCTAGGCTGGCGGAGGCAGGGATGTGTCAAGAGAATGAGGCAACAAGCCCTGAATCTTGAGGTGAAAGGCAAAGTGGCTGTGACCGCAGAGCTAAGGAATCCCCAAAACTAAAATAGATTATGTAAGTAACGACGGCCTTGCTGCCAGTATGGAGTTTTAGCTGGACCAAAAATATGAGAAGTTCCTTTGGTTGAACTACTGAATGACCAGAAGCGAAGAGAAAGCTTTGACTGCTGGTGCAGCTTCTCCCTCCCTCCATGCTCCCATCTCCATCGCACTCTACTGCTACCCCCAAACTCTTCTGCTTTACAGAAAAAAATGACAAAGGAGGGGGTTGAGTTCTCTCTGATGCCCAAAAAGAACTAAAGGCCATAAATACCCCTCTTGGGCTGCCTAGGGAACTTCAGAGAGGGACTCAAAAGTTTTAAGGCTCTTTTAGATATAGGAACTCATGTCATCACCACCCTACCCTGGTCCCATGAAAGGAAGAAACATCCAGATTCAATTTATAGGGTTTGGGAAGGATTCACATACAGATGGGAAGAAAATTATCATCCTGTAAGGGTAGGCCTCTTGGGCCAGTTCAATGTCCTGCTGTTGCTGCCTCTACGATGCAACACGTAATAAGAATTGGTGTGTTATATGATTGTACTTCCCAGCCTGTAAGTGCCAGAGGGGAGTCTCGCAATCAGGAAGGGCTGCATGTAGAAGAATGCTAGTGCCTTTGGGACTCCACAACCCTAACGGCCACTTCTGGTTACAAGTCTCTATAACTTGCGATTTTACTAACTAGACCCTCTGACAAAGAGAGGCAGGCAATCTCTACAGGTCCCCGTGCGATTCTGAACTCTTGCCTCCCTGACACGACTTTCTGGCATACTCCTTCTCTAAAGCAATCGGTAACATGCTACTGGCCTCTGGTGGAGACTGAAGGCCTGGCTCATTCATGAAGCCATCCTGATCCCCCGCCTGATATCCCTACTTTGGTTTTCTAACCTACTATCCCCCCTTGATTTACTCTAAACAGTAGTTTTAAAAAAGGGTCAAATGTGCCCAAGCTTCCAAACCAACAGACATTATCTCACAAAAACAGCATTGATCATTCACTTTACCAACTCTCTCCACCACATAAAGGACCCCAGGGCATAAAGTATCAACTGCCATCGTTAGGCGAGGCTCCTCTTCTCCCCCCAAATCAAATTATTTGGAATCCTGAGCAATCACTGCAAAACAAGGTACGTAAGTGTTTAATCCAGCAGAACAGCAGCTGATAAAGGCAGATTTTTCTTTTATTTCCAATCGACCTAGATCCAGACAGGGGGTGCTCTTGAGAGCTGTTTCCCTGCATGGTTCATCGCCTCAGTCATCGCCCGCAGAACTCTTGAGAAGCTGTGGGAATGTGCAGGCACAAACTCAAAGCCTGGCTTCATTTCCAACATCGTAGAAAGGGACTATATATCATGGGTCAAAGCCCCGTGCTTGGCAATGCCACCTGGACAGAGCCCAGCGAGAGTGACCTCCTGGGAGTACCCACATGGGTCCGATGTTCCTAACTGGGGACGAGTCAACTCAATGACTAACAATGTGGAGAGAGTCAACAGAGAATGCATCTGGCTTTGTCTTAGCCCCAGCAGCATCTCAATTTTACATGTAAAAGTAGTAACAAGACCTTTGGGGAAAATTTATCCCCTATTCTACCACTAGAAGCAAAGTTACAGCCTCTACAGAGCCTACATCAGTACATCATCAAATCTTATGGATTTAACACCATTCCTCCATTGTGAACACTCAAATACGGATCACTATAAATTCTTTCCTGGACTTTGGCAATAGCCTCTTAATTTGCCTACCTGTATTCAATCTTACTTCACCTGCAATCCATTCTCCAGAAGCTGAGTATTTCATTCTCTCCCCCTTAAAATCCTATAATGGTTTCCCCATAACCTTCAGTCCAAACTGACCTACACTTGCGAACAAGACTCATTCACCCAGCCTTAAGAGTTTACTTATTATGTACCTCTTACCCATGCCTCCTTTACATCATACAAAACCAGTATCCATTTCTAAAACGTACCTGACCTCTCTTATCTCCAAGCTTTTGCTTCTCCCTCATCCTATGCCCATGCATTCTCCCTTTTGCCTGACTACCAGTGCACTCTGCAGGTTTTAATTCAGATCGCATTACAATATAGGCTTTTAAGACTCTTAAGATGAGGTACCTATGGAACAAACAGCAGTGAATTCACATTGTCCATTTTTCTCTATCTTCTACTCTAAGGAGGGACCACTAACATTTATTCACTGTTAATATAAGCCTGCTTATGTGCTCATTAAGTATTTGGGGGATTAGTGGCACCTGGGTGGCTCAGTCAGTTAAGCATCCAACTTCAGCTCACATCATGATCTCGCAGTCCATGGGTTCAAGCCCTGCATCAGGTTCTGTGCTGACAGCTCAGAGCCCAGAGCCTGCTTCAGATTCTGTGTCTCCCTCTCTCTGCCTCTCCCCTGCTTGCACACACATGCACGTGCTCTCTCTCTAAAATAAATAAACATTAATAATAAATAAAAATTAAAAACTATTCAGGTGATAACAATCCTATACCAAGTATTGTGCAAGCGGTCAAAAAATAAGTTATCAAAAACAAGATTTTAATTGATCATTCATTAAATACATTATTAATAATGTATTTAAAATTTGTACTTAAAAATACATTATTTTAGTAAAAGTATATTCTTCCCTCCCTATCACATTGCACTGAAATTAATATAAGAATTTCATAGGGGCGCCTGGGTGGCTCAGCCAGTTAAGTGTCCGACTTCGGCTCCAGTCATGATTTCATGGTTCATGGATTCGAGCCCCGCATCGGGCTCTTTGCAGACAGCTAGCTCAGAGCCTGGAGCCTGTTTCAGATTCTGTGTCTCCCTCTCTCTCTGACCCTCCCCTGTTCACGATGTCTCTCTCTCTCTCTCAGAAATAAATAAAAACATTAAAAGAAAAAAAAAGAATTTCATAAGAGGGACACCTGGGTGGCTCAGACAGTTAAGCATCTGACTCTTGATTTTGGCTCAAGTCAAAGCTCCTGAGTTCAAGCCCCGCGTCAGGCTCTGCATGGACAGTGCAAAACCTGCTTGAGATTCTCTTTCTCTCTCTCTCTGCCTCTCCCAGACTCACACATATCTGTCTCTCAAAATAAATAAGCTTAAAAAAAAAAAAAGACTTTCATAAGAATCAGGAGGCACATATCAGAGAGTGATTATTATTCCCACTCCACAGCTAATCTGAGAATCTTCACAGTATCATACAAGAGAACACCAGGGCTTATGTTTCTGTCCATACATACTAAAATTTTACAATGAGTAGAATCTCTCAGAATACAAATCAACAAACTATAAAAGTCCACTTCAAGGGCCGCCTAGGTGGCTCAGTCAGTTGAGTATCTAACCCTTGGTTTCGGCTCAGGCCATGATCCCAGGGATCCAGCTCCACATTGGGTTCTGAGCTAAGCATGGAGCCTGCTTAAGACCCTCCTCTCTCCTCCTGCCCCTCTACCCCATTCACACTCTCTCTTAAAAAAAAAAAAAAAAAAAAAAAAAAATCACCTCAAGACCTATTAAATCACAGATTTCATCTAAATTAGTGCCTTCAAATTCTCTATTACTCTCACAAATAGAGAAATGGCATAAATAATTCCCAAATAATAATATCTAGGAATATGTCATAACTTTTTTCATAGCAAGTGTTTGCCCTAAAATCGTCTGACCTAAATTAGTATTCAGTGTAATTTGAGCTATCTAAGAACATGCCAGTTTGTGACTGGAAGAAGTATTATTCTAAGCACAGTGAAAAGTATCTTTATCAGAGTCTAGATTTAATACAATACCAGAAAGAATGCACCAACTAGAATAAATCAAGTAGAGATTACTTGCATGGCAGAAAATAACTGTACTGGATTAAAAACTTCACAGTGTTGCATACAATAGTACCATTGAACATCTTTTTCAAAATAAATAGCTTCAAAAACGTATCTCTGCATTAGGTCTTCACTTAAACAAAATCACCCAACATCTTTGAAAAAAACCATTCTCACCCATGATACCACACACAATCAGGACGTGGGATGTGTCACAAGAAATGTGTATATTTAAAGAATCAACATTCTAAGAATCACTTCCTTGTTTAAAAAGTTTTACAAATGTCACTCATTTGCATTCCAATATATTTACATGAGTGGGAAATGGGTGAAGATACAGCTAGTTAGCAGGAAATCATAATCCTGTATATGCTCACAGAACAGCAGAGAAAAATGAACATTTTCCATCCTGTGTGTCAGCCGTAAAAGCCTTTAGATTGGCTGTTTTAAGTATGCCTTCTAAATATATAATATAAAATACAGGACCTCAAATTAGTACTTTGAAATAGAATTTTAGTAAAGACTATAAATCACAGAGGCCTGGGTTTATGCCAGCCTTACTCACCCTACTTGGGAGCATACTTGGACAAAATACCCAAGCTTGCTGAGCCTGACATTCCTAGTGTTAATTAAGAATTAACTAGGAATTAACATATACCATGCAGGGTTGTCATAAAACTACCTTAATGTATATTTAAAAAAACTTGGCACACAGTAAGTGTTCACTATTACAGCATAACAATTAAAGAGCCAAGACCAAGTTCTAGCACTTAAGTAGCTGGGTCACTTTAGTGTAACCTCAGTTTCCTAGTCTGTGACATGGGAATACGAGTATCTACCTAACAGGGTTGTTGTAAAGATTAAATGTCCTAGAACTCAACCTGGCAAGTAGTAAACGATGTGTTAGTTACTACTAACATTATCATTACCACTGAAACATTACACAACCACTGTCACATTCCTGAAGATACCTTCCATTTCTGCCACCTGAAAAAAATAGCTTTTGAAAAACTAATCTAATTTTAGTGAACTGATTATAATATAGGATAAGCTTATGTATCCAAGAACTTTTATGCTGATTTTAAGTGCACAAAACGTTACCTCAATTGATTGCTCATGAATACTGACAAGGTACGCGTGTCAAACATCCATTCTAAGTGAACAAATCCACTAAATGGACTAAAGCGTAACACCAAATATATGTCTATGGTACTTTTTTCCCAAAGATCCCAAAGCAGTTTAAGTAATCAAAGATAGCAATCCTCAAAATATATGAACTTGAGAACACTGCAACTGAAAGCAATCAACATTTCCCCAAACCTTTTGCCACATAATTACAAAATGATGTTATAATCAAAAGCCCTTTGACCTTGCCATTCTTTCAATTATTCAAAACATCTGAGTAACCACTGTGCAGCAGGCTATATTCTGATGCAGTGATAGAAAAGGAGAGGTGAAAAATAAATGTGGGAATGCCACTAACATAATTAAATTATTTCCAAATATTATAATTTTGTTTTCCTTAAACAGTGAAAGAGCAAATTACAGATTCTATAAATTGAGCGCATCAATACTTAATGATTTAAGTAACCTCATGTAAGTGACAGCCCAGTATTTTCACCAAGGAAACTAGGAGTGAGATGATAGAAGCATCCCTCTGTACTCCCCAATCAATTACTTATTATGGTAAATGACCATTCCAAACAGGAGTTAAATAATCCCGAGTGACACTATGTAACACATTTTTAACCCATTTTGGGGGGAAATTTAACCCATTTTGGGGGGAAAGGTCAGAAAAATGGGAAACCATAAATTTGATTTTGTTAAATATCACCTGTAATGTATCAGATCTAAGCTACATTTGCTTTATCTTAGAATCTGCAATTATATTTTTGCCAGGGCAACTAGAATGAAATTTACTTAACTATTAGTTAAGAATTTACTAATCATATCTCCCTTGGATGAACCAGTTTCTTAGGAAAGAAAAATCTAGCCTCTCCTCAATTACCAATGATCTAGAGTTCATACTATAGAGCCAACATCTTATGAAGCTAGAGTTTCCTCTGGAGCAGCTACATAACTGTTAAACGTTTTAAGGAATTGAAAAAAAAAAAGTTATCTAACAAAATTGTTCGTCAAAGAAATGCAATCCTAACTATTAGTTAAGAAATCGTACTGCTAGAGCGGTTATCCAAAACCTAAAAGAAAGCAAACAGCCAAGTGCCTTTCTAATACCTAGCTCCTCAGAAGGGCTGTTAGAAAATGTTGATGTTAACATTGACAGCAACAGTATCATACCCATATGCAGAGAGATATACTTCAGGCCTAAAAACCTTCCTTTGACTTCATTATTATGGACTATGATGGTCACATGAAAAAAAAAGGGGGGAGGGGGACCTCATTTCATTTTATGGATGCTGACCAGGCAGTTTTATTCAACTACAACACTCACAAAGGGGCAATCAAATAAACCCCAATTATCAAGGTGTTCTAGACAAAGTTTCGGTTTCTATTACTAAACACAATTAAAGAATTAAAAGGATCAGTGTGTTTTTCTTGAGTTACATTTGTCTAAAATGATTTGCATGAAGTCCCCCAAGACCCAAGTGACTGAAATTCCTTTAGCTA